AGGGAGCCCCCGGCAGGTAGGCGACCGGCCGGCAGGCGTGTGGAGCACGCGGCCCGGCATGCCGGGGGCTCGCCGCCCGCCGCTGCGAGGAGCGCTGCGCTCCGCCGCGGACCGATTCCGAGAGTCGTCCTCGTCGCTCTGTCTCTCTCGCCGCCACACGGGACGCCCCATGAGTGCGAGAGAGACAGAGCGACGGGGAGGACTCTCGGAATCAGTCTGCGGCTCCGCTGCTCACGTCCAGCAGACGAGCCGAGCCGGCGGAGCGCTCTGCCCCGAGGCGTTCCCTGCTCCGCCGCTCTGCGGCGTTCTGCGGCGTTCTGCGGGGACGCGAACCAACTTCCCCGCACGCCAGATAACGCCAAGACGAACAAGGCCGAGAAGAAACTGGAGAGGAATCTGCGCTGCGCACCGCGCCGAGGACCGCGTCAGGCCCAGCGAGAAAGTTGCGAGTTGGACGCGGCGCGCACCGCTCGCTGAGTGAGTGAAGTGCCCCTCGCCGTCTGCGGCGGAAATAAAAGACCCGATCGCCGCCCTTTTATTTTGCCTCCAGACTCTTTCGACCGCAGATCGGGGATCGGGGATGGTCGGCTCATCAAGGCAGGGGGCGCCGCCGGGGTGAGGGGCGCCGTGTTCGCAGTGCGATTTGTGTGCTCTGGCTGGGCCAAGGAAGAAGACCCTGCCGCGCGAAGGTCGCTGCGGCAATTCTCCCGCCAGTGACTGGTCTGGAGAACTAGAGCGGATCCAGTAGGTGGAAAAGGGAGGGGCGGAGCAAAAGGACAGGGGTCGAACCCTAGATAGCCAACCGAAAGGTTGCAAAGAAGCAACACTTTGCCCCTGAAAGTTGGCGAAAAGTGCTACTCCCCCCTCCCCCTCCCGCCTCCCCCTCGGATTGGCTCTGGATCCGCCACTGTTGGATAGTCTGGATGACGGCAGTGTACGGTCGGGGTCACGACCTTTCGCTGGAGCCTCCAGCCGACTCATTCCGCAAGTTCGTTACCTCGTCGCTCTGTCTCTCTCGCACCCCTACGGCGCGCCCCGCGAGTGCGACAGAGACGCAGCGACGAAAGGACCCTCATCCGCGGAGTCGGGCGGCAGGGCAGGTCCTCCACTCCAGGTGCGACGAGCAACAGGACACCTTGCCGGGGCACGGCGTGGCTTTCCAGTGCTCTTAGTGTCTGTCTCTTCGGACAGTGCCCTCGCCTTGCCGAAAGTTTTCGCCCGTCTGCTGAAGTGTCTAGTAGTGCAGGGGAAGGGCGAGGGGGTCCTCGCCCCGCGTTCGTATCAGATGATGCCCTTCTGCCGAGCCGCTGCGGTTTTCGCTCGGGGTCTGGCAGCCTCTCTCTCGGCGTCTGTGACGGCAAGGCTACGCGACTCCGGCGATAAAACTTGCGCCCCGCGACGCGACGTGGCGGCCGAGGCGAGGCGAGGTTGAAGCGGGGCGCCGAGTTCAGCGCCGGTGTGTGTGGCTGCGCCGGGGCTGTGCGCTGCGCCGCTGGGTTGGCGCGAGATTTATTCTAATTGCTCTCCGGGCCTCACCGCGTGGCGGGGCGGGGCGGGGCGGGGCCTAGTGTAGCGTAGCGCGATGCCGGCGTCGTCTGCCTACACCTTCATTAGCTGCTCTAATGCCGGGATAATTTGTATCGCGCCGCTCCAGCGCCGCTCCAGCGCCGTTCCAGGCGGAGGCTGGCGCGAGCTGGCGGGGCAAGGCTGGCTGGGTGGCCCCAAGTTTTTGTCGCGCCCGCCCGCACTGCGATGAGGAAGGGCCTGGCGGGGTGGGGTTAGGCGGGGCGGGGGGGGGCGGGGTGGGGCGCGGCGAGGCGATTAGAATCTCTTGACGCGAACGTCCCCCGGCTTGGTTCATTGTTCGCGCTCCCTCTCCCGACGTCGCCAAGCTGCTGATACCCGTGTATCGCACTAATCGCAATAGCGTAATGAGCTGCCGACCCGCCCCACCCCGCCCCCCCACCCCACCCCACCCACCCCACCCTCCCCACCCCACCCCACCCCGCTTCGCCACGCCAAGGGATGGGCAGGGCGAATCACTTTGCTGGCGGCACCGCGTCACTGGGCTGCCTTTCGCTCGGCAAGGCGATGCAAGTCACCCTCCATCACCTCCACCCCGGCTTGGCTTGGCTTGGCCCGAGGCGAGGCGCGGGGCTCGCGGCTCGGAAACCGAAAGTTCTGGAATGGCTTCGGCGCGGCGGCCGTCGAGTCAGTCGCGGAGCTGCAGACTGATGCCGAAAGTCGTTTTCGTCGCTCTGTCTCTCTCGCTCTCATGGGGCGTTACCTGTGGGTGCGAGAGTGACTGGGCGACGGAAACGACTCTCGGAATCAGTCTGCAGCTCTATGGGCTGATGCCCGATGAACGGCCAGGAATAACCCTCACCCCTTTGGTTGGCCCGTAGGGGCGGCGATCAAGTAAATTGGACAGACAGACAGACAGACAGACAGACAGACAGACAGACAGACGGGCGGGCGGGCCGCCAGCCAGTATGCAAAGTGTAGCCACCCCGCGCCGCCACGTGATCCCCTCCCCGATGGCGAGCCGCGCGGTCTGCTACTCGGCTTGTGCGTTGGATGAGGTTGTAGGGTTCTTGACGGCGAGCGGGAGCGCGGGGTGCGGGGGCGGGGTGCGCGGAGTTGGGGGTTGGGGCGGGGGTGGCGCCGCCCCGCGGGGGTTGCTGAAGTGGGCATTGTCTCCGCTTTGGACAAAACCGCGACTTTTTCCTCCCCCTCGCCTCTTTGGGTTTCTTCGCCGCGCGTGCTGAGTGTGCTGTGTGCCGAGCTGTCACGCGCAGCCCCTCGCCGGGCCGCCTCCTCGTCTTGGGCGTGCTGGAGGAGGCAGTGTCCCTTGCCCTTGTCCCACGAGTGCAGGTCAAACAGAACAAGGCGTGCTCGGCGCGGCGCGTGCTCGCGGCGCTGTCTTTGGCGTTCGTAAATACCCCGCGTCGAGGGCACTCTTGGGCTCGGACCACGCTATCTGCCCGCACGCCAGCTGCGGCAGCGCAGCCGGGCTGATTCCGAACAGTGACTTCGTCTCCTTGTCTCACTCGCCCTCACTTTCGGAATCAGCCCTCCGAGCGGTTTGTCGCTCTGTCTCTCTCGAACCCTTGTGGAGAGCGCCATCAGTGCGACAGAGACAGAGCGACAAATTAGCTCTCCTGATTCGCTTGGCTGCTGCGCTCCGGACCACGAGTCAACAGGCACCTGCCGCTGGCTGGCCACTCCCCGGCGCCACCACCCGGCGCGCACCTGTCCCCCGGCGATACCCCGCGCGCCGCGGCGGGGCAGGTGAGGGCCGTGGAGTCTCTCGGACGCGGAGTAGCGGCGCTGCAGTGCGGCCCGACGACGCCGGCACAGGGGCGTATGTCGGAGGCGCCGGGCGACTTGTTGCAACTGTTGGGGCAGGACGGGGCAGTGCACTGTGCTGTGCTTCACGGCGTCCGAGGCACGCTCTGTGACTGTGCGACCTCGGAGGCCTCGGCAAGGCAAAGCAGTGCCGGCTGTGCAACCCGCAAAGTAAAACAACGATCCGCTCCCGCAAACGCAAACGCAGCCTTCAGGCCGATGCCCAGCACTGCTTTCGTCTCTGTCTCTGTCTCTCTCTGTCTCTCTCTCTCTCTCTCTCTCTCTCTCCACCTCTCGCTTCAACACAGGACGCCCCGTTAGTGCGAGAGAGGCAGAGCGACGTTGCTCGGAGTTGGCGTGCTGACTCCGAGTTTGGCGTTGGGGTTGGCGTTGGGGTTGGCGTTGGGGATGGCGTTGGAGTTGGCGTTGGGGTTGGCGTTGGGGTTGGCGTTGGGTTGGGGTTGGCGGCCCTGGGGGGAGGAGGGGGAGGCGGGCGGCATTCCGGTTGTGATTTTTATATTCCGCCCTAATCCGCGGCCCGCGTCTGCGTGTCTGCGCCACTGGTGATGCCTTGCCCGGCCTTGCCTGCCAAATGGGGTGGAGCGACTTTGTCCACCCCCTCTCGGCCTCCGGGCCTCGCATAGAGGGAGGGTCGCGTACGTCCACTCCCGCGTGCGCGAGAGTCGTTTCGTCGCCGTCTCCGTCGCGCTCACGGGGTTCCCCGGAAGGGTGCGAGAGAGACAGAGCGACGAGCCGCTCTTCGCGGAGTGCGAGAGCGGCGAGAGCCACCCCAACGATCTGGTAATGAGAATCGGGTCGATATTCGCGCTGTTGTTATGCGAGGCATCGTCTCTCTCTCTCTCTCTCTCTCTCTCTCTCTCTCTCTCTCTCTCTCTCTCTCTCTCTCTCTCTCTCTCTCTCTCTCTCTCTCTCTCTCTCTCTCTCTCGCACTCGTAGGTGAGGGCGCGTAGGGGTGCGAGAGAGAAAGAGCGACGGAGTACCGCTCGGAATCCGGCTCTACTGTACTGAATGTATGGACTGCGTTGACGCGGCGTCGAGCGTGGCGCGAATGAATGTGTCGGTTCGGTCGGCTTTCTCTCTCTCTTTCTCTCTTTCTCTCCTTGGGCCTTTCGGAACGGAGAATATGAAAGGCCGTTGCTGCTGAATGGTGGACGCGCCGATTGACGGGGAATGACTGGAGGCCTTCCAGTCCGTCCACGTGGTGTGGCGTACGGCGCTTCGTCGCTCTGTCTCTCTCGCACTCATGGGGCGCTCCGTGTAGGTGCGAGAGAGACAGAGCGACCGAGGACTGTGGAGTCAGTGTGCTGCGGGCTGCGCGGTGCGGGCCTCGTGCGTCTCGGGGAGGAAGGAGTTCGTAAACAAGGAGGAAGCAGGTGGCGCTTCCCAGCCTTCCCTGGCCCCAAGTCACGCACGCACACACACACACACATCTCTCTCTCTCTCTACACACACACACACACACACACACACGCACGCACGCACGTGCGCACAGGCACATCTTTTTGTTGCGCCTCGCGGGCAGGCCAGAAAATACGTGGAAGTGTGGAAGCGTATGGGTCACTCTTCACGAGTGCAGGTCGTAAATATCCCTCCCCGTCTAACGCGCTTGTTTTTTTTTTTGCTCTTTGCAGTTCGCGGCGTGGGTGGACGCCGTCATCTTCGTCTTCAGCCTCGAGAACGAGGCCTCCTTCAACGCCATCTACAGCTACTACACCAAGATGGCGCACTTTCGGAACTCGGCCGAAATCCCGCTGATTCTCGTCGGAACGCAAGGTGAGTTGGAGTCGGGGTGAGTGCGGGGTTGCGTGCCGCGGGTGAATGGAATGGCGGGCCGCCAGCCGGCGGGCTCTCTCTGTCTCCCTCGCACCTGCGGCGCCCCGTTGGGGTGTGAGAGAGACGGGCGCTGTTCGGAGAGGGCTAGGCGGAAGGGCGGCGAACGGGACTCGCGGGGCGCGGCCGCGGCGCGCGGGGTCGCACAGTGGGCCAGAAGGCCGGTGGAGGCGGACAAAAGTCAAGACGCGTTTTGAGCTCCAGCGTCGCTAAATGGGACTCGAACCGAACGTGTGACCCCACCAATGGATTGCTCTCCGAACGAGGAGTCCATTGGTGGGGTCACACGATCGGTTCGAGTCCCATTTAGCGACTCTGGAGCTCAAAACGCGTCTTCGTTTTGTCCGCCTCGACCGGTCTTCTGGCCCACTGTGGGGGTCGCCGAGCAACGCGCACTCGCAGACTGCTACCGGGATTCCTTTTCGCCGCTGTCTCTCTCGCACTCACAGGCGTCCCCTGCAGGTGCGAGAGAGACAGCGACGAAAACGACTCTCGGAATCAGTCCGTCGATCGCCGCGGCGGCGTGTCATCGTCTTCGTCACCGTCGTCGGGCGTGACGGGCGTGACGCGCGGGTCGCGGCGTGGCGCGAAACGGCCGGGCACTGCCGCGTTGCCGTGGGGATTTAGCGAGAGCGTGCGTTAGCGTACTCGCCGGCCGCCCCGCCACGGAGGGCCACGCCACGGACCGCCTCGCCGACCAGCTGCCCGTCTGGCAAAACCGGGTCCGGGGCCTCTGGCTCCGTCCGTCCGTCTGTCCGTCTGTTTGGGGCTTTGTAGGTGAACGCGCACCGGCTGGCTCCGGCCCAACTCGGGTTCAACTTCAACAACCTGCAGGTTGCTTCCGAGCACCGCTGTGTCGTCGCTCTGTCTCTCTCGCACCCTGACGGGACGCTCCATGAGTGCGAGAGAGACAGAGCGACGAGAGCAGCGCTTCCGGAGCGTCCGCCCGGCCGGAGATACTGGAGCAGGGGCCTGAGGGTCGTGGGGGCTTCGGGCCTTCGGCATGGGGCTGCGGGACCGGCCCCGTGCCCTCCGCCACCGTGGCCGGGTGTGTGGTGTGCACGCCGCAACACCTGCTTCCCCTTCCCCCTCCCCTCCACGCGGCACGCACGCGACGCACACACGGCGCGAGGTGCACGAGCCACAGGGGCAGATGGCGCAGCCACGTGCGCAGCGCGCAGCCGGGCCGGAGTTGCGTCTCGTCTGCGGACTGACTCCGAGAGTCGTTTTCGTCGCTCCGTCTCTCTCGCACCCGTACGGGACGCCCCATGAGTGCGAGAGAGACAGAGCGATGAAAACGACTCTTGGAATCAGTCCGCTGCTGGAGCAGCGGCGCAGGCGCAGACTTCGACGGGCGTCAGGGACTTCCCTTGTGGGGATCCAGGAGTTTTCTCTGGAGGGGTGAAATGCAGCGCTTTCTGCCTATCCAGGGCCAAAGCCGGCCAAAGCGGCGCTGGTTGCCCACCTTACAGGCGCCCAAGGGCACACTGTAAAAAATTTTGACACGAAATTTCGTGTTGTGGCTAGTGAAACGCCCCTTCTTAGTTATACTTCTAATGAATTTCGTGTGCCAGTGGCAATGAAATCTCGTTCGCCATGGCACACGAAATTTTGTTGGCCACTGGCGATCAGAAGGCTTCTTCCTACGCCAAATGGCAATTTTTGAGTCGTGGCGCTGGCAAGGATACTCGGAAAACCCAAAATTGTGAAATTTCTAGTTGTGGCGAGGAGAATTTGTCTCGGGCCGATGAAAAAAGCGGCACGAGCGGTCGGCATAGAACCCGAAACTTTAACTTGGATGTCTTGTGCCCTGACCCCCGGCCACCGCACCGCTGCTTGGCAGAGCGCTCGACGGAGCTTCATCATGGACTCGCGAGGACTAGTCTGGCCCCCACCAGGTGCGGCGAAGCAAAGATCCCTTCCCTTTGCCACGACTTGAAATTTCATAAATGTCGTCAGGGTAGGATGCCTTTTCAGTGCCACACCTATGATTTTTCTTCGCCAAGGGGCTGTTTAAAATTTTAAAATCGTGGCTGAGGGAAGCATCGTTTTGTTAGCCAAGCGGTAAATTTTACGTTTTGAAATTGGGAATTTTATAAGCCACTGGCACTATAAATTTACTGTCGCGGTTTGGAAAGTGCCTTTCCATAGCCAGTGGCGCTTTAAACACACTTTCGTGTCTGGCTAAGAAAATTCAAGAAGCCATTGGCTACATAATTTTAAAGGTATTTTTTACAGTGCAGGGAGTTACCCCCATAGCACTCCTCTGGATCCGCCCCTGCTCCGAAGAGCACTCTCGCCATGATCCTCTGGCTGCCAAAAAAGCGATAATTGAGTCAGTTTTAGCGCCCTCCCTTTCCCATTGCCACGCCCATGCCGGGCGTTGCAGTGGCGTTTGCTGGTGTGGCGGCTCATCCGGCAGGCAGACTGATTCCGAGAGTCGTTTTCGTCGCTCTGTCTCTCTCGCACTCATGGGGCGTACCGCATTGGTGCGAGAGAGACAGGGCGACGAAAACGACTCTCGGAATCAGTCTGCACTGGGAGTGTCTCGTCACGCTTCGCGCGTCGCCCGGCTTACCGGCCAGCCTTGGAGGCCTTGGCACTCATTGGCGTTTCGGTTTATGGCCCAGATAGGGCGGCCCATGGCACGGCACGGGGCCCCGCCCGGACCGGCGAGGCGCCGAGCGTCGCGGCCGCACCACGCCGACGACGACGGGACGCCGACGCCGCCCTCCGCACGCGCGCCGCCACGGCCAGCAACTCGGTTACGAGCAGTGCACTCGTGTCGCTCCGTCTCTCTCGCACCGCTAGGCGACGCCCCGCGAGTGCGAGAGAGACGGAGCGGCGTTCGTAATCAGCTCGCGGGCGTGTGGGCCTGTGGGCGTGCGGCCGCGTGGGTGCGCGCGGCGTGTGGGCGTGAGGGCGGATGCTGCATCCTTCCTGCAGTGCCCTACAGTGCCGCGGCGTCGCGTCGCTTTCCGTCCGACACCGGAGGAGCTCGAAATTTTACGGCTGTAATGGGTATCCTGCACGTCCTGGGGCCTGCGGTGCGGCGGTGCCTTGCTGCTGGACAGGCTCCAGCGCTCCTCCAACGCCAGGCTGATTCCGAACGGGAGGGCTCTGTCTCTCTCGCACCCCCATGGGACGCCCCATGAGTCGAGAGAGAGAGAGAGAGAGAGAGAGAGAGAGAGGAGGGGGAGGAGGAGGGTGAGAGAGGGGAAGAGAGAGAGAGAGAGAGAGAGAGAGAGAGAGAGAGAGAGAGAGAGAGAGAGAGAGAGAGAGAGAGAGAGAGAGAGAGATGCCTCCCGCTCGGAAACAGCCTCCAGCTCCAGCCGGCCCTTCGGCCCTTACTCCTTTCACGCCGAGTGACTCAGAGCGCGCTGCAAGCGCTGGCCCTTCGCCCTTCGATGGCGTGGCGCAGCGCGGCGTGGCGTCTCGGATTTTTATTCCATTTTTAGTGGGGGAGGGGAGGGGGCAGGCGGTGAAGGCCGTGGGTCTTCTTCGTCTCCTCCTGGCTGGAGCTCGGGGAGGAGGAGGGGGAGGGGGCAAGGGTGCCGGCGGGGTGGCGTGGGCGGGGCGGAGGGGTTGGGGCCCGTCGCGAAGCGGCCAGTGACGTGTGCCCTGTCGCCCTGCCGATCTCTCGATGACGTCAGCAACGTCGTCAACGCGACGCGCGGTGTCTAGGTCAACCTGCAAGGCCAGATCGTTGAGCCTCTCTCTCAGCGCCCCTCGCCCTCCTTGGCGGTCCGCGGGTCCGCGGCGGCAGACTGCTTTCAAACGTCGCTCTCGCCGCTGTCTCTTTCTCGCACCAGCACAGCCGTCTGATTCCGAGCGCTGCTTTCGTCGCTCTGTCTCTCTCGCACTCATGGGGCGGTCCGTAGGGGTGCGAGAGAGACAGAGCGACGAAGCAGTGTTCGGAATCAGACGGCAGGTGCGGAAGACACAGAGCGACGAAAACGACTCTCGGAATCTGCCTGCAGTCCGTTCCGAGTTTCCAAATTGCGGCTACTGTACCTGCGCGGCCTGACAGCTTGACCTGGCCACTGATCGCGTCTTGCCCGAAGGGACTGCTCCACTGCACCCTTTGCTCCCGGCCAGCCGCGGCCAGACGAGCGACTCCGGAGATTCGTTTCGCCACCCCGTCTCTCTCGCACTCCTGCGCGACGCGCCACGAGTGCGAGAGAGACAGAGCGACGAAATGCGCGCCGCGTTCCGTCATTCCATTCATTGCCCGGGCCGGGCCGGCGCGTTTACCAGCCGCCACTTTTTTACGCGCGGTCCCCCTCGCGTTGCGCTTGCTGGAGGGAGGGGGCCGGCGGGGCCGGCGGGCGGGCGGGCCGGGGAGGGGGCAGGAAGGGTGCGGGGCGAGGCGCGGGGCGGAGCGGGGTTGCTGGAGTAGTAGTGCATCATTGTGTTGGTGCGCTGGTGCCGCGCCGCCGCCGCCGCAGTTTGTGTGTGTGTGCCGCGCTGCTCCGCAGCCCGTTCCGTGCCCTCCTCTCCTCCGAGTCCAGCATCACCTTTGTTGATCCTGTGATCCTGAGCGTGGACTTGCACTGCCGGGCGTCGCGACGCCTGCACCTGGGCCGGCTTCGGCTTATTCTCCTAAGTCGTTCGAGTGGCGTCCACCGGCGTCGCCGTTCGCTATCAGTGTTGATGTACCTCAACAAGCGTGCGCTGTGTTAGTATTTGTGATGTGCGCACCTTTCGGGCCTTTCGGGCATTGCGGCTTGTGTGGCTAAGGCGGCGTCACCGCCCCTCTTCCCCTGCCCTCCCCCTGCCCTCCCCCACCTAGCGTCGCGACACTGCTAGTATCAATGAGGGCTTAGCTCTGTATGCGTTTGAGCTGTTGATTTGGCCTGAGCCTCAGCCCAAATTAACATGCATATTATACTGAATTTCTTCTTTGTTAGTGCCCTTGTTCTCCATTAGTGCTTGTCTTTGTGAGATCCAATTGCCGCATTTTAATTGCATTTTTAATTTGTGTGTTTTTAGATGCCATCAGCGAAAACAACCCACGAGTAATTGACGACTCCAGAGCACGCAAGCTGGCTACTGATCTGAAACGCTGTTCCTACTACGAGACCTGTGCTACGTATGGCCTGAATGTGGAGCGGGTCTTTCAAGATGGTAAGTGAATTTGGTTTAATTTTGGATCATTTTAGTAATGTCACTGAGTATGCTGTAACTAAAAAAAATTCTTTCCACTCCAACAGCTTGCCAGAAAATTGTGCATCAGCGTTTGTCAGCATCATCATCCTGTCTGACCCCAAGCAACTCACGGCCATCTACACCGCTGGGCAACTTTTCATCTCCTCAATCTGGATCACAGGCCCAACCCATCAATGCACGAATCATTCATCAAAACATGCCAGTCACACCTACAATAACCAACCCGGGAGCTTCATCAAATGGTCTGAATACGAGCAGTTCATCGGGTGGATCTCCAGCTACGCACAGCCACCACACTCTTTCCCACAAGGTATGGGGAATTTCTTTTTAAAATAGAATTAATTTAGTTTCCTTCCAAGGAGTTCAATAATAACCCGTCTTGTTTTGTTTTCAAAGGAGGTGATGAACATGTCGCAGTCCATTCCATCAAGTCGCCAGGTGCACACTCTTTCATCAGGCATGAGGCATCATGACTCAAACAAACTAGATTCCATGCGCCCAGCTGAAGCTGAAAAGGCTGTAGGCTCAGCTGCACCACCAATGGGTGCCGCTGCTGTTGAAAACAACAATATGCTGATGGTGAAGTGCCTGGCTGCCCCTCCTCCAAGCACAGGTCACTCTGGTACAGGTTTTGACCCCTCTGTCAAAATTGCTCCACCCCAAGGGTTTGAGAATATTGGTTCTCGATTTGCACCTCCTCAAGGCTTTGACTCCCTCGGCATGCCCTCCCAAGGCAAGGATGGCAAAGACTTGCCCACTCCCAGTTCAACACCCACCACATCAAGGTTCGTATTTTGTTGCCCTCATCTTTCATTTTTAACATATTTTGTTTTTGTGAGGGGGAAATTTGCTCACTGCATTATTTCATATTCTAGGAAGAGCAGGAGAAGATCAAATTTATTCACACCTTCCAAAAAGGGTGAGGACAAACTACGCAATGGGGAACTTGGAAGTGGAAGAGCGATCCCATTGAAGCAAGGATACTTATATAAGCGTTCCAGCAAAGCTTTAAACAAAGAGTGGAAGAAAAAATATGTGACCCTTTGTGATGATGGAAAACTTACCTACCATCCTAGCCTGCATGTAAGCATGGAATAATTTGAGTTATTTTAAATCTTAAGTTCAATGTCTCTATTTTGAAGCATAATCATAAACCCGTCTTCTTTTTCTATAGGATTATATGGATGATGTTCATGGAAAGGAGATTTCCCTGCAGTATGTGACAGTCAAGGTCCCTGGGCAGAAACCTAGAGGATCCAAGACAATCAACTCCAGCAATGTTTCTGTTGGAAGCAATGGTGTTAGTGATGGTCTCAACAGCCTCACCATAACAAGTAAGACATTTAAATCTTTCTCAATGTCCTTGATGCCACAATGATGTTCCCCATAATGTGTTTTTAATAATTGTGCTTTGTTTTCTTTAGGTTTTCAAGGCAAAGACAAACGACCCATTGATAAAGTGCAGTTGACTGGATTTGAAATGTTAAAAGATTCAAATAATCGCATGGTGCAGCCTCAAGGCAATGATGAATCTTTGAACTTTTCTCTCAATGGACACACATTGAATGCATCTGATGGAAAGATGTCGGAGACTCCAAATGTTAAGAAGAGACACAGGAGAATGAAAAGTAGCAGTCTCAAGAATACCGATTGTGATGATTCAGATGGTTATGAATTTTTTATTGTCTCTCTTGACAACAAACAGTGGCATTTTGAAGCTTCCAATTCCGAGGAGCGTGATGAGTGGGTCTCAGCTATTGAGCAGCAAATACTCAACTCATTACAGGTAGGAAAAATTATGTAATTTTCATATTTGTTTGTATTATATTTATCTGTATTTTTTAATGATTGTTAATGTATTTTTAATGATAATTTTTTGCTTTGTGTTTAGGGCAATGAAATAAGCAAATCAAGGTCTCGCTTACATGGAGCTGTAGACACAACCTCTATTCAACTCATTCGGTCGAGAGTTCATGGAAATACGAATTGTGTGGATTGTGATGCCCCAAGTGAGTTTGCCCTCTTTGTTCTTAAGTTTTAATCATCATTTAACCATAGGCATACTTATAGACATCGTATTATTTCACTTCTAGATCCAGACTGGGCATCTCTTAACCTAGGAGTTTTGATGTGTATAGAGTGTTCAGGAATCCACCGAAACCTGGGCTCTCACATATCCCGTGTTCGATCTCTAGACCTGGATGAGTGGCCGTAAGTTTCTGAATCAAACACTTGATGTTTTTGTTAAATCAACAGAAAGTCTATCAAGATATTTTATCAGACCATCTTAATATTCTTTTTATTCATTGTTTTTCAGGCAAGGTCATTTGAGTGTAATGTTGGCTTTGGGAAATGCACTTGCTAATGGTGTGTGGGAAGCTCGGGTTCCTCGTACATGTGGCATTCCCAAGCCCACTCCAAATTCAAGTAGGGAAGAGAAAGAAAGATGGATTCGTGCCAAATATGAAGCCAAAGAGTTCCTTGCTCCACCCTCCCTTGGCATACCTCTAGCACAACAATTGATTGATGCAGTTTGTAGGTAAGTGAACAACTGTTTTCAATTTCACGATTGAAGACTTACCATGAAAACAAATCAAACTCACTCCACTGACTTCAATTTTCACAATGTGTTTTAATTAAAACTTGTCTCTTTCAGAGTCTCTATGAAATGCGTCTACACTCTTCTAACACATTGCACTCCAGAGGATGTGAACAGCACAGTGAGCCCTCGTGATTTGCGCAACCCACTACACCTTGCATGTGCCCTTGGCAATGTTGCGATTGCTCAACTTCTTATCTGGGTATGCATACAATGAGCAAAAAATTTCCTTCCTTACTGCTGTATAATTTTTTGTCATTGTAATAATTTTCTTCTTATGCTTTTCTACAGAACAATGCCAATGTGAAAGCTGTGGATCAAGAAGGCCAAACTTGCTTATCTCTTGCCAGAGCAGCTGCTCGCCAGGCATCTCCAGATCCAAATGTTGGTCACCTCATAGAATTGCTTCAGTCCAATGGAGCCCCAGAGTTATCCACCTCCACAGTTCCTCGCAGGCAGCCTATTTCTTCACTTCCTCCTAATTCCCTCGACACACTTCCCTCAAGTATCATATGAAATGGAAAAATTGCTTAGCAGCAAATTTTTTCGTGATCATTCTAACTCTTGATTTGTGATTTAGAAAAATTGTTTGTTTTGTACATAATTATGTATATTTATTTCTTGATAATTTTGATTGTCACAATGTTATATTTTTACTGTGCATGTCAGCTTCTAGTGAATAGACAATTGATATGCATCTCATATCAATTATTGAAAAAAATATGTGGTATAATTTGACGTGCACAGTAAAACAATGTGTATTGTGGTGATAGATCGTGTGTAAATCTATCTTAACTTAAAAGTTTCTATGAAACCTAAGAAGCTTTATGAGTGAAGCTAGGTAATACCAAATAGGCTCTTTAATTGTTCTGTATATTTGATCTGACCCAGTGTTTTTAATTTTTACTTGCCAACTTCGAAGCTATAGTGCTAGTCAACATTCCCCATTATAGCATCTTAACGTAGAGCTTTCTTGTTATTGTTATTTTTTGTTGATGTTTTATCATTTTTATTGTGTATATGCATTGTATTCCATTAAAATATGTCATGGCCATTTACCTTATCTCTTGTGATGTTCTCTCTTCCCCTTGTTTACTAGAAATCCAAACCAATAGCAGAAGCCCTTTGATTGAAATTGGAAACCTCTATTTCACTCGCCCTATTTTTTTGCCTTGTCTCTAAGAAGATCCCAAGATAGATAGCATAGGGTAGTTCTTTTGACATAAAAATTAACAGAAACAAATCGCTAATACTAAGCCTTGGAATGGGCATATACTGAATTGAACGGGGAAAGGGCGCTACAGTCAGGCTTGTGCCTACATTTTGAAAGTAAATTTTTATCTATTAGAACCTGCAAGTTTACTAGAATAATACTTAATACCAGTGGATTAGATGATTTTTGAACATTGATTGATGGAAAACAAAAACTGGCAATGCATAAACAATTTTAAATTATTACATTATTTACAAGTAAAATTTGCTTTGTTAAAATCTTTTGAATTCTGTTAGCTGTTTTAATTTATTTTACATTGTGAGAAACAACTTTTGTTGCAAACAGTTAGCTGTTTCAGGTCTTCTTGGCAGGTACTCATTGGTAGAATTATTAGCAACAAATCCTAAATGTGTATATAGTTACCCTTTTGTAAATAAAATATGTATATGTTGTTGACACTGTTTTGAGATGTTCCCACAAATGCTTGGTTCTATGTTCTATTTATACATGTGAGTAAACAACTATAAAACAAATTCTGTTCTCTCCAGCAAAGAACTTGAATTTTGAAACATGTTGAAATGGTAGTGATGCGTATTGAAATACAAATGTTTCACCTGATTACCTCGTGCCAATCACTGATTTCCCTAAAGCCCCCACACTACATACTCACACTTTGTGACCCTGCATCTCAAACTCATGTGTCACGGAGATGACATCGGAAAATCCGAGCAACGCACCCGACCACGCCGCCCGCCCAGCTGGCCCAGCTACATCATTGGGCTTCCCCCAGCAGCTGAAGCTGGACCAGCTGGACGAATGACGTCAGATGAACGGACGGGAAGGAGGGGGAGGGGGGGCGAATGAATGGACGAATGAATGAATGAACGCATGAATGAATGAGGACATTGAAATGCTTCAGGGTTTTCCAGTCATCGATCAAAAAGCTCTAGAGGAATCGACGGGACAGTTCGGCTCAATTTTTCATAGACCTTTCTCCGGCCGCTCTCCCCCTACCTGCTCCGGCCCCTTTCCCTTCACCTCCCCCTTCCCCTCCCCCTTTCCCATTCGGCCTTGCCTAGTCGCAGCCGCAGGCCGTTCGCGTCGTTCGCCCAGGATCATTTTCGTGAGTCAGTGGGAAAGAAGTGGGAGAGCCCCTCTCAAGGTCTGGCAGCAGGTGACTGCAGGCTGCAAGCACAAAGAAACAGAAGCAAGTCAGACGGGCGTTGAGCTGTATATGGCCGATTCCAAAATGGGCAGCGCGCACTCGAGAGGAAAGCGTAAGTAACCTATGCTCGCACCTTTCCAGTTTGTTTTTATTTCACCTGAGAGTTGGGTTTCGCAATTTTTGCGCTGAAATCATGGGCGGTTCTGCCGCGGTGTTAAATGGGTCCGTTTGGCGAGGGCCCGAGGACCAGCGTGTCGTTCAAGGACCCCCCAAGGAGGGGGCTGGAAATGCAAGAATGGAATGCAATTTGGGGTCCAACAAGTGAAGGCTGTTGTGTCGTGAACTAGATTATGAAGGGAAGCTAGGGAAGTTCAAAAGGGACATGTCGGAAGAATTCTCCTCGTATTTCTAAAATTTGTTTATGTCAATAAACATAAACATTTTGATTTAATCGTTAAATGTATTAGAAAGCAAACAATTCATGTCATGACAAATCTGTAATTTTTCATATAGGATTATTGCCAATCATCTGCACTGACCTGAGATCCACCTTGATTCAGAAACGCGTTCCACATCTGTCAATGTACCAGTTTCGGTGCAGTGGCATGCGTGATTCATGTAAGAATTGCAAATCAATCTCTCAGCTTTTATTTGATTTGCATGTTGTATTGAAGTAGCTTATTTGTTTAAGAATCCTTTTGTTAACTAAGCGCTAGCAAAAGTAAAGTACACGGTTTTGCATTACAACTGACCGTTCAGTAACAAGTATAGTAGATTCTTAATGTAGGTCTTGCCTTGGATGTGTAGTCATACTTTTTAGGAAGCATGATGTTTTAAATTACCTTTTGTTCTTTCTAGTTGAGATTAATCCTAGAGGCTCAAAGAGGCCAGGTAAGACATTGCCTTGTCGTCATTCTTATGTATCTGTGGAAGAACTGCTTGGACTGCTTGAAATTGTGCTTGATAATTAATAATTAGTATTGCTATAGCTATTTGGCCAGCAATGTGTTGTATGGCATTGGATTTGTGTTTGCCAGGGAAAATTATGATTATTTAATTGTTCTCCTTTTGAAAGCATTAGATTTATTCCCCCGGGTTTTTTCTCTCTTCGCAGCTGATAATGGGCCACCAAGTTCGCCAGGCAGCAACCCATCTGATTATGTTGAAGACTTCGTGTGTAACGAGGACGACCTTCAAGAAAATGAGTGAGTAGAATTTGCAGTTTCTTTCTATTCTTGTTTAATATTTTTTGTTGCTCTTTTATTTTTATAGTTTTTTGATCTGCATCTTAATTAGAGGAATAAGTAAAACAACTCTCTCCTAATTTCAGAATGAAGGCATTTGATATGCCAGATGGTGCTGGTAAAGTGTTGGTGGTTAAGCAGAAAGGGAAGATATCAGCTGTCGGATCAAAATGCACTCATTATGGAGCACCTCTGATTAAAGGTGTTCTTGGTGAGGGTCGTGTTCGTTGCCCATGGCATGGAGCTTGCTTCAATGTAACCACAGGTATGTTAACATGAATCATTTACTTTATTGTTGAATTTTTAAGATATTGTTTGTAACCCTGCTCTTGTCAATTCAATGTTTATCCTGTTTCAGGAGATATAGAGGACTTCCCAGGTCTAGATAGCTTGCCTTGCTTCGATGTTAGCATTGAAGCAGGCAAAGTGAAGGTAAAGGCTCACAAAGAAGCATTAAAATCAAGTAAAACCGTGAAAACCATGACTTCTCCATGTGGAAAAGACTCCCGTTCATTTGTTGTGATTGGAGCAGGTTCGTAAATTTTGCAATGTTGATTACAATCCAACCCAGAACTGTTCATTGATTTTTTGGTTGTGCTTTACACAGGTGCTGCTGGTGCATGTGCCGTTGAAACTCTGAGACAGGAGGGTTTCACTGGAAAGATTGTTATGATCACTTCTGAGCGCGCTTTACCTTATGACCGCATTAAACTGAGTAAAATGTTGGATGTTGAAGTTTCCAAGCTTCAACTTCGAGATGAATCTTTTTACAAGGTTAGATAATGTTTTCACGACTTCAATTTTTCAAACCCTAAGCAGACCTTTCTAAGTATTTTATGGTTGTCTACAGGAGCATGGTATAGAGGTTCGCACTGGAACATCAGTGAAGTCTATTGATTCCAAAGGAAAGAAAGTGATCTTGAATGATGGAAGTGAGATAAATTACACTCGCCTTCTCGTTGCATCTGGGTCCAAGTAAGTTTATTCTACAAGCATGATTTTAAATTTACTTTATTGCTTAAATCTTAATTTAATATCTTAAAATATTTCAGAGCAAACACTGCTACTCAACCTGGATCTGATCTTCAAAATATTTTCTCTCTTCGAACCATTGAAGATGCAAATGCCATTCATAAAGTACTGTCAAAGGAATCAAATGTTGTTATTGTTGGAGCATCTTTCATTGGCAAGTTTCATTAATATTTCTTTTGATTCTGCCAGTATTCATTTTCTTTCATTTTGTATTTATTACCACTCCATGCAGGTATGGAAGCTGCTGCTTATTGTGTTGGCAAAGTAAACTCGGTGACGGTGGTGGGTCGAGGCTCAGTGCCTTTCCAGCCAATTCTAGGAGAGAAAGTTGGTGCTCGCATCTTGCAACTGTTCGAAGAGAAAGGTGTGAAATTCCGTATGGGCTGTGATGTAACTAGCTTTGGAGGTGAGGGGAAAGTGAATGAAGTTAAACTGTCAAGTGGAGAAGTTCTCCCTGCCGATGTTGTTGTTCTTGGAATTGGAGCCCAGCCTAGCACTGCATTTTTGCAAGGCACTGACATTGAGATGCAGCGTGGTGCTGTTGTTGTGAATAAGGTCAGAAATACTTTCCTCCATTTGCTCTTGACCTTTCATGAATTCAAGCACTGCATGACTGAAAGCTCTTTTATTATTTGCAGTTCATGGAAAGTAGCATTCCAGACATATTTGCTGCTGGTGATGTTGCCTATGCTCCAGTTTTTGCAGCTGATGATCGTCCGGCAAGCATTGGACACTGGCAACTTGCTCATTACCACGGACGTATAGCTGCTCGTAATATGGCAGGCAGCCGAGCAGAATTAAAAAGTGTACCGTTCTTCTGGACAATGGTCTTTGGAGTTGGTGTCAGATATGCGGGTAAGCACTTCTTTGCAACTTTCTTCTTCTTTTTCTTCAAGGATTCTTTGTTGTTAAAGCAATTGCTTTTGACTTTTCAGGCTATGGAGCAGGATTTGAGGACATTGTTATCACTGGAGACCTGTCAGCCATGTCCTTCATTGCTCACTATTGTGTTGGTGATGTGGTTACTGCTGTAGCCACTGTGGGGTCAGATCCTGCCGCAGCTAAATTTGCAGAATTGCTAGCAATGAAGAAAACTCTCTCAAAAGAAGATGTACAGAAAAATGGAAAAGCTTGGGTTGATTCACCTCTCCTTTAGTAAAATAACAAAACAATGTCAGCAGGCCTAGTTATGTGTAAGATTTGCACTTGATTGACTATCAGTATTACACCACCATTGTGATACGGTGTTTATCCACTAATTACTTTGTACTGTAGATAATTTGCTTTGGTAAATATCTATTGTCACTGCTGCTTTTAACCTGCCAGTATTGCTCTTACGTATCTAGTTGCCCCACTCCCCCCTCCCCCTCCCCATTATCTTTGCATTTCCCAAATTTTCTCTTTATTTGGAAAAGTTTTCTGGTTGTGCTGGCAAAATCTCAGTTAGCATATGTCTAGAATCGAATGAAATTTGTGATGTTATTAAATCAATGTTATCTTAAAGATGGACCAATTATCTTGTTTGTATTTTTTACTTTTAAGTTTGTATTATTTTGTTTCTCTGCATCAATTTGTTTTTAAATTCTTATAACATATTTATCATAAGAAAGAGTTGTTTTAACGAACCATAACTGATTGTGATATGCACTGTTACACATGTGCCTTAATTAATTCTTTCTATTAGTCGTTTTTCCTGATTTAACATTTATTCCTGTACGTACTTAAAAATGTTGGAACAATTGTATTAATTCAGTTGTGCGGGTGATGCTTTTGTGATAAATGTTCATTTATATTTTACTATGGGTTCATGAGGTTGATGTTGTAATTCCCTATTTGAACAGCAAAGATTTTCCTTAGTATGCGTAAAGATTGAGGCCTCTAGGACTCAAGCATAAGATAGGAGTGACACCATGCATTTAAAAGACAATAAACAAGAAAAACACACGAGCTAATATTTTTGAATTTATACACCTTGAAGAATACATGTTAAGCCCGGCAGATGATGGCCCCGCTTTTCTCACAAACAGATTAAAAATAAACCTGATTTGCTTCATCGACCGTAAAGATTAGTACTAAAACTGCAATGCAAGCGCGGACGGATTGTCATGTTGTACCGCGCGGCGGGCCCGAAATGAAGTGTCATCGTTTGTGATCCTGGCTTCTAAGTCGAGTCACTCCAAAGACTGACTCAGTGCGCCATGCACGTACGCTGTAGTACGCTCGAACGCGACGGGCCTGGACGAGGGGTTGCCTACCCATGAGGCGCCCTGTGACGTGTCAAAAGGGTAGTCTGCCTTCCCGGCGCTGCAGCGCGCTGTGCCCCACGGTGTCCCTGATCCAGAAGCGATGAAGAAACAAGCCGGGCGAAGTACAAGGAGACATTTAATGTCGCCAGATAATTTCTAACCTGTTTGTTGCCATCCAAACAGTGCTGCTGGACATGTGATCTAACTCAGAGTGGTCGTACTGAGTTTGAAATGTTCCACCCGGACGTTCTCTCGCGCAGGCAGTGTTTCGCGCCCCTTTGACCAGACTAGACTGTCAGCATGATCCGCTTCCAGATGCCGATAGAGGCACACGCGGTTATTTCACTTCTTCAATTTTTGTCAAACGGAAAACAGAAACGCGTCGAGGTTGCGAACCCCAACCCTTCACGTGGCGTCCGACACCTCTGCATCCTCGGCCACCGACTGGCATACATACTGATGCCCTGAAAGTTGGACTCATCAAACCAAATTCAGTGCCAAAGTGATGAAAAGATAAGTGTGGCTAGTATTCGAACCTACGTCCTCGTCGTTGCGGCCGCAGCTCTTGCCCACTGAACCACCACGACACTTGTGACAGGTGCTTAACTCAGTCTGACCGTAGGGGAGGCGGGGAGGCGGGGAGGCGGTAACGAAGGAAAAAAAAAGGAGGGCTGCTGGGTATCGAACCCAAGGTCCATCTTCTCTTGGCCGGCGGTGCCACCAGTTCAATCAATGGCGCTTTTACCGTCCTACCGACTATGCCTTTCTGAAATCATCTCTAGATTGACGAATCGCATCCTATCGCTAGTGTGAAGGCCGACTTCCCCGGTCGGCGCAGCGAATCCGATGAGCCGGTGAGGGGAAATCTTTTTCACTTACAGGAAAAATCTAGTATTTCCTTTTTCCTCTCTTTGTGTTCTTGTGGCTCGCCCAAAATTCTCCAATCGACGCGAGAAAGGAAAGCAAACACTCAGCGGAGAACAAGATGAATGCAGCCGCCGTGGCGATACCCCACGACGTTCGCACGGTTGCACTCTGCTCCTGCCTCCTGCTCAGCGTCATCCGGCGGCACAGCTTCGGCTATACCCCGCGCCACCACCGCTGATAACAGTAGCAGCGAAGGCTTGGATTGCACTTTTGAAGTGAAGTATAATTCTCTTTCCAAGATGCGCATGTAATTTTTTTCCGTCGAAGAATGGTGATTGTCAGAGAATCTCGAGGGAAACTTAAGCTGCAGTGCTCCAGCCTAGACAGCCCGGACCGCCCTTCCATTATTCGCTAGGTTATGGTCTTGTGTTAGTAAGCAGAGGCAGCAGTCAAATCTTGACCAATCTGACTGCGTAAAAATCAAGACTTCATTCTTCAGGGAACTCTGATAAGGATTTTCCTTATATCAGGGATGGTGTTGGTGTTCCTCTTTGGTCATGAACATTAAATCCTCAAAGTTGTAAAAATAGAAAATTCTTATAGACAGATTTTTAAATTGTCGACATTGGATCAGGGTTTTGAAAGGAGATTTTCTACGCAATTATCACTCTTTTTGGAATTTTTGATAGATCGTCCATGAGATGTTTGTGTGCTTGTTGCAGTGCAGTAACGCCTAATGTTCAGTGCTGTTTTTCGTGCTTTGCCCAATTGTGTGGCACAACGTGTTACGGCAGCATACTTTAAAGGTCTGTAATAAATTTAATCATTGGGTCAGTTGTGTAATAATAAAAATCACGGCTATTAGTAAGAAACAAAACTAATTCTGTTTGTGTTTTTTGGTGCTTGTGTCATTTCAGCTATTACCTTTCGGTCTAGAGGTCTCCATAGTGTATCAACAAAAGAACAGATCCACAGCAAAATGAGGGTCTGTGTTCTTCCCGCATTACAAGACAACTACATGTACTTGGTAAACATATTCAATATTAATTATACACTGAAAGAATGAGAACTCATTCTCTAAATTTAGTTGCATTACTGATTTTTAAAAATTGATACACTGACAGGTGATTGATGAAGAAACTCAAAAGGCAGCAATTGTAGATCCTGTCAACCCAACTGCTGCTTTGGAAGCAGTTCAAGAAGAAAATGTGAGCCTGACAACTGTTTTGACCACACACCACCATTGGTAACTAAATTGTGAGTAAAAGTAGAGTGAAAACAAAAACACCTATGACAATATTGTTCTTTGTTGCCAGGGATCATGCAGGAGGTAATGAAGAACTTGTTAAGCGCTACCCTGGCCTGGAAGTTTATGGTGGTGATGACAGGATTCCCGCCCTTACAAAGAAAGTTACCCATGGCAACAAGTTCTTTGTGGGGAAACTGGAGATAGAAGCTTTGTTCACACCATGCCACACCTCTGGTCATGTGTGTTTTTTGATTAGCTCTCCCGGCCAACCTTCTGCGGTTTTCACAGGTGAGAATTATGTACATTTGTCACTCTTTTTTCTAAGTCTACCCTCATATTGTTTAAATATTCAACCAAACTTCCTGCTCCTGCCATCTCTAATTATTTCTCTTTTACAGGTGACACTTTGTTCATTGGAGGATGTGGACGATTTTTTGAGGGAAATCCGGAACAAATGTACACAGCATTGGTAGAAATTTTAGGAAGTTTGCCAGATGAGACTGTAAGCTTGTTGGCCCATTAGTCATGCTACTATGCTGGATATACAATGTAATCATTGGTTTTATTTTCAATGTTTACAGAAAGTGTTTTGTGGCCATGAATATACTGTTGCCAATTATAAATTTGCCAAACATGTTGAACCTCATAATCAGGATTTGCTTGAGCAGGATGCCAGAGCTAAAATGAAAAGAGAAAGGCAAGAACCTACTGTGCCTTCAACCATTGGTAAGATTAATTCATTATTATTTTAATTCTGGAAACAAGTAATTTTCAGATGTAGACAATTTTCTTTCTTTCTCTCTCTTCCTTTTTCAAAACAGGTGTTGAAAAGAGAACGAACCCTTTCATGCGGGTCTGTGAAAGTAGTGTACAAGATCATGCTGGACACCAGGACCCAATTGCAACCATGCAGTTCATACGCCGTGAGAAGGACAATTTCAAAGGCTAAACTATAGTGTTCTGTTACCCAAGGACGGATTGGGCTTTTAGTTTATTTCATTACACTCTGTCCAATATGAAAAACAGCTTTTTATAATTTACTTATTGGAAAATATTGTCGTAAAAATAGAACTTTCCACCATGTGCAATAATTTTTTATAAATATATATTATGAAACTTATTATGTTTTGAACTGTCTTAAAATACCCTAACTTTAAACAAAACTGAATTTGAAAGCAACCCTTACTTGAGGTCTACACAGCAAAGCACTATTACTGCTCAGCCCAATTTTGCAACTGCCTTGCTAATGATGGTGCTGCATAATCAAGTGGTGTCTTTTCCTCTCGATTCTTTGTGGTTAGACGTGCACCATGTTGAACCAACAGCCCAGCTTCCTCAACTCTGTCATCTTGACAACACAGGTGTCTGAAATTAACCGACAAAATTATGAGCATACAATTCACACATTCTTCAAATGGAACTGGAAATACGGGAAACTTACAGTGGGGTGTTTCCATAAGCATCTTTGCAGTCGACTACAATTTGATTGCCACAAGCAAGAAGTTCCTTAAGAACATCGGTATTGCCAACAGAGGCAGCTCGATGGAGAGGAGTAGCACCTCGTTTATCAGCAATATTCACATCAGCGTGACTTGACAGCAGAACTCTGACAATCTACCATGGAAAAAATTAAAAATATTTGGTGAAAACTTTGAGTTGAGTCAAATATTACTAGGTTGAGAGAGCATTTAATACTTACATTTAGCCAGCCTTTAGAGGCTGCATACTGCAGAGCGGAATGACCTTCATGGTTCTGAGAATTTACTTGTGCTCCCAAAGCTAAAAGTGTGTGGACCACTTGTTCCTTTCCCGCTGATGAAGCCAAAATTAAAGGTGTAGAACCAATCTGAATGTCGACATAAAATTGGAGATTAGGTGGAATGCAACATGATGTTCAATCATTGAATGTTAAATTTTTTTTAAAGAGGAATCTAATGTACATCATCCTTGCTGTCAATTGGAGTACCAAGATCGGATAGAAGCTTGACAAGCTCTTCGTGGCCACCCAAAGCTGCCCAGTGAATCAGCGTTCTATCATTCTGCAAGGAAAATAAGTTCTCAATAGTCACGCTGAAATAAGAAGCAAACAAACAATCGACGGCAAAAAACACAATAAGCAATACGTAATAGACTTCGAAAGGAAAAAGGCAAAAATCATTTTCTTTGACAAAGTTGCAGCTGCAGTGGCACTGGACATAACCCTTGACAGTGACGAGCTTTTCTTAAACATTCACCACGACTCACGTCATCTTTCTGGGTCAAAAGCTTATTGTCCTGCTCAAATTTCAACTTGAGAGTATAGATATCCCCCTTGAAGGCGATGTCGTGGATAGTTTCTTTGGGATGCAGTGCCATAATTCTGATTCAGCTCGCCGTGCGGTTCAAACAGAAACACAAGCGAGTTGTCAATGACGCCCCCCCCCGCTCCGGATCAAAACATGACTATTCGCAGCGCAGATATTCTGCATATAGTGATACACCACTGCGTCGGTCTAGAGGCCTAAATACTTCGTCAGAGAGCGGCAAGTGAAGGAACGCGCTCTGGTTGGTTATCCCAGTCACGTGGGTACTGGGCGCCGCCCATTTTGGAGTGCGGCCATTGCCAACGTCGGAAAAGCACAAAGATTACTTTCCACCTCGTTTGCACTATACAAATAAATTATTCCATTAATAAGACTCAAGCCCGGCAGCTGTAATGCTGAAAAGTTAAAATTAAATTGTAAAGAGACTGTGCTTTAAGGAATATAAGCGAAGGGATTGGTTGTGGCAGTTGGCAACAATTTCTCAAACGACAACCCGCGCGTGCACAGTCGTCTGCTGCCGACCTAACCTAACGTTGCGCGGAGGCTTTGCTTACGTAGTACACCTGCTGCACGGCACGGCCGCTCAGACAGCCCGACGCCCCACGCCCCGCGCGCTCGACGAGACGGCTAGACGCGTCGCTGGGGAGCAGGGCGAGCTAAGGCGAGTGGGGCCGTCACCGTGAGCGATGAGTCGGACACGTCCCAGGAGCCCCTCCTGGAGCCAGAGCCAGCCAATGCCACCCGCCGCGCCCGGTCCGCTCCCCCTCCAGCCCCTCCAGCCCTTCCAGGTCAGGTGGCGCTTAGAACGCCCTGGAAGTGCGCGTGCAGCGTGCACGCGCCGTGCACACGGTGGGCGTCGGGCGCGTTGCGTGTGGCGCCGAGGGGCGGGCAACGCTGCCCCCCTCCCCTCCCTTTCCTCTTTTTTATCCATGCGAAAAAGCAGGCCTGCCTGGCATGGCCGCCAGGACAAGGCGTGACCCCTTTCCTCGCAGCGTCGCAGGCGACTCGCAGCCCCGCGCAGCCCCCGCAGCCCCGCGCGGCACCAACCCCGAGACCAAGACCGACCCCCTCACGAACTGCGCCGCGCCATGCCGCGCCACGCGCTGCACTCCAAGCAGATTGATTCTGTCTGAGATTAGTTTTCGTCACATTGTGCCTCTTGCACTCATGCAATCTCCTTATCCAGGAGCTTGACATCTCGTTGAAACGAATGTGACAAAATGTTATTGCGTCCTTTGAATGAGGGTGTGGGGCGTCCCGTCGGGTGCGAGATAGACCGAGCGACGAGAACGACTACTCTCGGAGTCAGCCCCGTATGGGTGCGAGAGAAAAAGAGAGAGAGCGACAAGAACTCTCGGAGTCAGCCCTGAACGGGTGCGAGAGAGACAGCGACGAGAACGACTCTCGGAAGCAGTCCCGTATGGGTGCGAGAGAGACAGAGCGACGAGAACGACTCTCGGAATCAGTCCCGTATGGGTGCGAGAGAGACAGAGCGACGAGAACGACTCTCGGAATCAGTCCCGTATGGGTGCGAGAGAGAGAGAGCGACGAGAACGACTCTCGGAATCAGTCCCGTATGGGTGCGAGAGAGACAGAGCGACGAGAACGACTCTCGGAATCAGTCCCGTATGGGTGCGAGAGAGAGAGAGCGACGAGAACGACTCTCGGAATCAGTCCCGTATGGGTGCGAGAGAGACAGAGCGACGAGAACGACTCTCGGAATCAGTCCCGTATGGGTGCGAGAGAGAGAGAGAGAGCGACGAGAACGACTCTCGGAATCAGTCCCGTATGGGTGCGAGGGAGACAGAGCGACGAGAACGACTCTCGGAATCAGTCCGGTATGGGTGCGAGAGAGACAGAGCGACGAGAACGACTCTCGGTTGCGCCGACCTATCTTCCATATGACCTTACTCACCCCTCTCTTCCCCACCCTCAACTCCCCCTCACCCAAAAATTAGTCAAAGGGGTTGATGATGGAAGAGGGAGGGGGAGGTGGTTAAGAGAAGACCGGAAGGACCAGGAGCAGTGGAGTAGGGAGGGGGCCATGATACGCCTTGAAAAAGTCGAAAAAGGCACCAAAAAGTCTTTAAAGTCCGTACAAAAGTCAGAAAGTCAGAGACAAGTCAAACAGTTAGGGACAAGTCGAAAAAGTCACCATTGAAATTAGTCACAGTCAGCCAATCTAGTCTCAAGTCATTGTCCACCTTCTCATCCAGTGGCGCCCCCTCGCCCAGCATGCATCTCGGTTGCTCCGACCTATCTTTCATATGACCCTAGGGCTGAGGGGGAGTCATTGGGTGCCGAAGGACCAGAGGGGAGTGGAAACAGCGAGGGCGTAGTGACCTAGAGTGGGACTCTAGGAGGGCGAAGCGGCTTAGCCAGCCAACGCACGGAGTGCCTTTGTTTGCGGCGGTAGCGGCTTGCGTCAGGGGCGAGATGGGCCACCAGTCGGACACGCATGTGTTGCGGTACGGCTTGGCCTACCTGGCAGGCGCTAAAAGGGCACGCTAGGGAACACCAGCCGATGCACAAGGCCAGCGTCACTGGAACTCACTGCCCAATTCCTCAGAATGAAAAGCCCAGCAAAATGGCACAACTTTTAGGCCGAAAAAAAAATTGCCTGACTTTGAAGTGGAATATCTCCGGAACGGTTCGTCGGAAAAATCTGGGGTTGTGATTTTTGGATTCAGCGGACCTTTCTGCGTAAGATAAGACCCGTTTCAAAACGATCGGGTAATTTTAACAGCAAAATCCCAAGATTTGGGACTTTTTATGTAATATTTTCGAGAAAAGTGAGTTTTCCCCGTGAAAAAATTATTTTAGGTCAAATCTGATGGCACGATCGTGTTCCCCGTTCAATTTTGAAGCTAGAACCCGAATCTGAAACCAATCGGACAAAAAGTCCCTGAGATATAAGAAATACCCAAAATTAGTGTAAAAATACCCAAAAAAACTTAAAATCCCCATATCTCCCAGAGAAAATTTTTTTGAGGTCTGAAATTTTGGCCATGAACTCCCACCATGGGGGACTACTAACCACCAAAAAATCAGCGAAATCCAAGGGGGTCGTTGTAAGGTCCTGCTTTTCTTAAATAAACCTGCTCCTGTCTCTCTCGCACCTACACGGGACGCGCCACGAGTGCGAGAGAGACAGAGCGACGACGGCGGCCCTCGGAATCAGTCGACTGCCCGCACGTCACGCAGGGCTCAAGGTAGAGGGGGTGCTTTTGTCAAACGGCTGTCGACGCTGATTCGTCCGCTGTCTCTCTCGCACCTATACGGGACGCCCCATGAGTGCGAGAGAGACAGAGCGACGGAAACGACTGTCGGAATCAGTCTGCTGGACGAGAGTGGAGGGGACCGCGGCACCTCCACTGATAATCCAAACGCCACGAGTGCAGCGTCAATCAGTGCAAGGCGTTTGAATCCGCCTTCATCGCACCCATCGGCGCAATCCTTCGCTCATCAAGTGCGACGCCTTCCCGATTATGCGTTGGCATAGGGCGTTTTCGGAACGCGTCGCTCGTGAGGTGCGATAGTGGCTTCGGCGTTGCACGTCTCGTGCGGTGTCTCAGTAATTGCATTGCAGGTTGCGTGCCTACACTGCCTGCAGAGTACTTGGAAGCACACCCTGCATGTGCAGTGTCCTTGGAGGCGCCCGGCCCAGCCTGCAACAGTGGCGTGCCTCAAGCCCCACTCCCCCCTCCCCCACCACCGGAAGGGCTCTCAAATACGCAAAGTTATTGGGCGTCAAACCCTCGCAGTGACACCCCTCCCCTCAACCCCCTAAATTGGACTGGCCGCCCCTATTGACACGGCGTCCGTAAGGCGAGCAATTGCGCAACGCTTGGCTGCTTGGCGGGGAAGGCGCCTTCCGGAAGGCGGGGGTGGGGGGTCGCGCTGTGCCCCGGTCCCCCGGTCCGGCCGCGCCTGCACTAGAAACGACACTACCCTTCAAGCGTCGTGGTTGCCACGCTCGGTTTCAAGCGTAGTTCTCCGTTCCTCTCCCGCCTATCTAAACGCATGGGAAATTTGCCTATCTGCGCTGTACTTCCAATGTAGTAGTTTGCATGAATGCGCCGCACAGCCGCGCTTCGGTTTCACCGGTGTGCTTGTCAACAAAGCGGACGCAAAAGCCGATACCACCGACAGCATGCCGGACGGATTGAGCCGCCGCGCCGCGACTTTGACACCGTCGGACATCCCTCACTCGGAATCCACCGAACACACATGCTGCAGGGCGAGGGGTGCAGCGGGGTGCTGCTGACAGGACCCCCGGCAGGCGGGGGCAAACGGGGGCGGGTGGAGGGGGGCTCCCGCGGCATGTCCCACAGGACAATCGCGCCCTGCAGGACGGTGACGGGGTGCACATACCTGTCCCGCTGGTGGCGGCTCGGCGTCCTGCCGGTGTCCTGCTGGCTTCCTGCTCGTCCTGCTGCTGCTGCTGGCGGTGTTGTTGTCGTCGGAGCGCGCGCGGCAGGGCGGCGGCGAGGTGGTGCGGTGGGGCGCGTCGCGGCAGCACTGCCCTATCATTCCTGGTCCAGCCTATCAAGTTCAAGTTCAAGTCTACGCGGGGCCGCGACGGCCGCGGCGCCACAGGCCGAGGAGTCGAGGGTGGCGCAGGCCGCCCACCCCACCCCCACACACTAGAGGCGGCCAGAGGCGCGCGGCCGCGCACGCGCACCCCGCAGCGCCGAGCAGCGCCGAGCCTCCCGCGCCGCGCTCGGACTAGACCCAGCCCAAGCCGCCCAAGCCCCGCCGCTACCTCGCACCGGGGACCAGGGCCTGGCCTGCAGGGCCTGGCCTGCAGGGCCTGGGGGCGGCCAGACGGGGTGGCACTGTCTCTCCCTCTCTCTCTACCTCTCAGGACGGCGGAGGGTGGGCGGGATTGTTTTGACGTCGAGGCCGCGCGCCGCCGCGCCCCAGCAGGCGAGCGATTCAGATGTCACTCTCTCTCTCTCTCTCGCACCCCAACGGAGAGCCCCATGAGTGCGACAGGGACAGGGCAACGAAGCGACCCTTTTCAAATTACTCGGCAGCAGACTGATCCCGAGAGTCGTTTTAGTGGCTCTGTATCCCTCCTCGCACTCACGGGGCGTCCCGTGCAGGTAAGAGAGAAACACAGCGACAAAGGAGACTAACGGAATCAGTCGGCCCGTGTCTGCCCCGACGCGACCCCCGATGTTGCGAGGTGGGCTCTTCCCGAGAGGAGTAGGAATGGTGGGCGGGGATGGTACAAGAGAGACCAACGCGGGAATAGACCTAAAGGTTGATTAATAAATTATATTCTGAAAAAGTATTTCACATTGAGACGAAAATCACAGAAACGGGTCTAAGGGTTGACTTAAATCCTTAAACTATATGGCATATGGCACACTGAAGACTAAAACACTGGGCTAAGCCTTGTTTAGAAAATTATTCTGAAAATATGTCACACTGAGAATCACAGAAATCACAGAAAAAGGTAAAAGGGTTCATTAACTTAACTAATGAAATTATTTTAAAAAATATGATACATTGAGACTGAAAACACTCAGCTAAGGGAGTTATTCTTAAAATAAAATTAAAACGTCACATCCTGTGCAAGGTCAGCAAGGAAAGAGATACACTGATAGCTACCGCTACGCCTCCGGGCTGTAAAGGTCCGTGAGCTGGTCGCTGTCACTGTCAGTTTTCTGCAACAACAAAGACAAAAACTGTAGCGCGCTCTGATTGGTCGAGCCCGGCGGCCAATCAAGGGCTCTGATACCCCCGACTGCCATCCCCCCACTGTAAGTGAACTTCCCTCCCCCCCCCCAGTCCACCTGAGCGAGGATGCAGAGGGGGGAGGATTTTTTGCCCCACCACAAACCCCCCCCTCCCCCAAACGTCACCTGGTTTACGTAGATAGAAAGGTAGACAAAAGGCCGTAGTTCGCCCGTTCGCCCCAGACGTGCACAGTGGGTCAGGAGACCGGCGGACGCGGCCGAACTTCTACTATACGCTTTTATAGCTCTATAGAGTCGCTAAATGGGACTCGAATCGAAGAATCGATCGTGTCGCCCCACCAATGGATTGCTCTCCGAACAAGGAATCCATCGGTGGGGGTCACACGTTCCGTTAGAGTCCTATTCAGCGACCCTGGAGCTCAAAGCGCGTCTAGAATTTTAGCCGCCTCCAGGCCCACTGTCCCCACACCGCCACTGCACCTACTTTAGGGTCCTTGGTCTCCTTGAGCGTCGGGGGCCGGCTGCTGGGCTGGGGGAAGCTGCTGCCCCGGACATGAATCACTTCGATGCCGACGCTCACGCGGCTGCGCGTGCTGCGCGTCGAGTTGGTCAGGGTGACGTCACCATCCTGCGGGCAGGCAATGCAAGCCAATGTTGGAAATACAGGCAATACGAGCAATGCAGGCAACATAGGCAATGCAGCACATGCATAGCCGCGGCGAACTCAAGAATAATCCCGGAACAATCAAGCTGCGCCGGCGGGAAAACAAATAGAGGTACTAAAGCGTACACAATTACCCTCTGTTCAAACGTAACAGGCTCATCCACCCCGATTCCCCCTTTCCAAATGCACGGGGGAATGTCCTCTCTACGCTATACCACGCGTAACTTTGCGCTTGACTCGAGAATTCACTTACGCTTTGCTTTTACCCCCGAACACCCAAGGCCGACCAGGCCTCCGTGTCAAAGCGAGTCCGAGTTGCTTCAACCCAGTGAGTGGGTCCACCACGGCCAGCCGGCCAGCCAGTAGGAGGCCACCGAATGCACACCAAAAAGCTTTGAGTCACGAGTATATTTGATCAAACCACGACAATAGAATTTTCTAGCTGAGAGCAAGATAATCCCATTGCCGAAAACATCCTCCAGTGTTGAGTGCCCGGTGCCTGAAAACCAAATCAATAACGACTCGGACAATCTGATTCGGCTGGTCGCTCGCAGAGAGCCATTCCCGTCTCTCTCGCACTCGACATGCATCGAAGAGAAGCAGCGGAGCCTGCATCGCACTAAAAGCCAGTCCACTGTCAAAAACCAAGCGTGGGGAACTCCACGCTTCCTGGTGCGGAGTATGTTCCCCACACTTGGACGTGTGGAGTTTGCAGTCTTCACACCTCAAGTGTGGAGTAGCTCACAGGGCCCCCATCCCTTGCCACTGTGCAAACGTGGACAACCCCACACTTAAAGTGTGGATGTGGGGACAGCAAACACTGCACTTCCAAGAGCGGAGACTGCAAATTCCACAGCTCCGCATTTCACGGTGTCGCGCGGACTCACCCCGTAGCTGGACAAGAAGGTGGTCAGCGACCCGCTGACCGCGCCGACGGGAGGGGTGAATGCAGCTTGGGGGCGGCCGGCGGCGGCCGCGCACGTCGGCGTCAGGGGCAGCGGAGGCGGGCTGTGCAGCCTGGGCCTGCTGGTGGGCGGCGGGGGCGGGCTGAGCAGTCCCGTGTCGGTGATCTTGCGTTTGTTGATGGGTGGCGGCCCGGGCCGGTGCGGCGTGTCCACGCTCTGGGGTCGCGCAGTCCTGTCGGCCCCGGCGGTCCCTGCGCCAAACGCGCCGGGCGCGCTGGGCCTGGCCTTGGTGGTGGGCTGGCGGGGCGCCAGCGGGGCGAGGCCGGGAGTGTTGCCCAGCTGGTCGGGGGTCTCGTCCTCCTCGCTTCGGTTGTCAGCCTCAGACAGCAGCTCCATGTCGTCGTCGTAGGAGAAGTCGTCGAGTACGTCGTCGACGTCCTCGGGGTTCTCGGCCTCAGACAGCAGCTCCATGTCGTCGTCGTAGGAGAAGTCGTCGAGTACGTCGTCGACGCCCTCAGGGTTCGGCGTCACCATGTGTGCGCTTGCGCTCGGCCCGTGCGGCGGCGCGTTGCTACTGGAGGACGTGCTGCTGGCGCGGGGGCGTCTTGGAGTGCTGGAGCGTCCTGGCAAGCCGGCGCCCCGGGCGCTGCCGTCCCTTGACCGGCTCGCGATGGTCCCTGCGGCCGCTGGTCCTTGGCCGCCGTGCGGGGGAGTGCCTGCCTGGCCTGCCTCGCCTGCCTCGGCGTCGTCGGCCCTGGCGGGGCTGTCCGCGGTGGTGAAGGACACGGCGCTGCCCACGGAGCGCGGCCCGCGGCGGCCCACCACGTTGGCCGCGGCGGTGGCGGACGTGACGAAGAGGCGCCTGGAGGCCGAGGAGAGCGCGGAGGCCTGACTCTGCGACATGGTGCTGCCGGTGTTGCCACTGCTGCTGCGCCGCTTCCTTGACTCGCGCTCCCCGCTCGAGATGGAGGGTCTCCTGTTGGGCGGCGAGCTCGCCACGTCGTGCAGCTTGGCCGGCTTCGCCCGCAGGGGAGAGGGAGGCTGCGACGGCACGATCACGTCGCCGTCGGTGTCCGAAGACTCTGGCTGCTCGTCGTCAGAGTCATCGCTCTCGGTCGAGTCCTTCTTAGCGAGGGGCTGCTTGACCGGGGCGCGCTGCGTCAAGATGATGGTGTTCGCGGAGTGGATGTGGTCCGTGTCGGACGACACCGGCGTGGACCGCCTCTGTACCTGGGAGGCGACAGATGGGTGGGCCTCGGGGGCCGATGTGGAGGCCGCCGTCACAGCGGTCGCGGCCCTGGAGGCTGGGACCAGCGCCAGGCCGCCGGGCGACTGGCAGACACGCTTGGCCTGCATGGGGGAGGCCGCGGCGCCCTTCTTCAGTGACAGAGACTTCCGTTTGGGCAGCGGTCGCTCCGCCGCCACGATGGGAGCACCTACCATGAAGTCGACCAGGTCCGAGGTCATCCGGAAGGGGGTGAGGATTTGGCGGCCCTGCGGCGCGGGCTGGGACATGTCCATCTTGAGGCTCGGGCCGGGCGAACTGCGAGACGGGCCCTGCGGCGCGGGCTGGGCCTTGTTCACCTCAAGGCTTGGGGCGGGCGAACTGTGCAGCACGGCGTCGGGGACGCCGGCCGAGTCCTCCATCGGGGAAGGGCTGCGCCGAGCAAGCGGTTCAAGGTTGTTCCATGGACTAGGCGGAGGGCTGTAGCACGGACTGGAGGGAGGGTCCCAAACCGGACTTCGCACCTGACTTGGTGCGGGGCTGCACTCCGGAGTCGGGTCTATGATGAGAGGTGGCTCTGGGCTGCGCACAGAGCCTGGCGCTGAGCTGCGCGTCGCACTTGAGACTGGGCTGAGCACAGAAGCTGGCACTGGGCTGAACGCAACACTGGACACTGGGCTGCGCACAGGACTGGGCGCCAGGATTCGTGGGGTGGTTGGAGGCGGCATGGGTGCCTTGCTGAAGGTCAAGCCCAGGGCCGGCCTGCTGGGGCTCGCGGCCACGGTCGGCTTGGTGGATGTCGTTCCCAGAGTCGGCTTGGTGGACGTGGTGGCCACGTTCGGCTTGGTGGCCAGTAGCCTCTTCATCAACTCGTCTCCCTTGGCCTTGGCCTGCGCCTTGGCCTTGGCCGCCTCGGCGGTGCGGCTGGCCAGGCCCTGCCCCAGCATGCCCAGGGACACGGGCTTGGTGCGCGGCTTGTTGATGTCCTCCGGGCTGCTGAGCGGCTCGAAGACGCTGAGCTCGTCGTCCGTGGTCGCGGGGTGCGGCAGCGTGGCGGGCGCGGGGCTGGGCGTCAGGAGGACGGTGGCCGTCGTGGGGCTGTCCGGGTTGTCCCCACAGGAGACTCCAGGTCGGCCGCCAGCCGGCCTGCGGGGAGCCGGCGACCGAGGGAAAAGCATTCGGGCGGGGGGGGGCGGGGGG